CCAATACTCCCAACAGAGGCTATCGTCAGACCATTTTCAGTATCATTAGATAACAGCAGAGATCTTCTGCCGAGCCTATCACGACCAAACCAGACCTCCCCCCGCTTCGCATCGTAATATACGAACGCGAATGGTCCTTTCAGAGCTTCCAAAGCGACGATCGGTTCCTCAGCTGCGCACAGCCTATTGAAAACCTCTATAGTGTCGCTTCTGCTGGACCCGTTGAGCTCGTCATTGAAGAGCTCACCGTTCCACAGGAGAATGTGGTCGTCAGTACAGTATGGTTGCTGTACTGCACCTTGCGAGCCGCGCATGTGTAAAACCGCAGATTCGAATTCCATAGTGATATCACCGTAATGAGCTCGCCGACTCCCGAAACGATCAGGGCCGCGACAGCGAAGGAGGTCCTCCATCTCGGGGAGTTTGGCAGAAGCAGAGTGGTTTTCGAATTTGTAGGATGCCGGGATCGAACTTGCGCATGTGTCGATTATGTGAAGGCATATGCCACACATAAGGAGAGTAACCAAAGAAACAGTAAAATCTGATCTGAAAATTTTCAGGGTGCCGCCCTACCCCCGAGACTTTTGAGAGCTAAGGAGTTATGACCCCTATAAGCAGTGTGGAAATAAATTTGCACACGTTCATCAACCACATGTGTTGGTGACAATATGAAAACTCTGAGGAAAACTTTGAAAATTTTTTGTTAGTTTCTAGACACTCCTCGTAAATTCTCCCAAATCGTATATAAACTCCCATGATTGTTGAGAAAAGTATTGAGCTCATCTCAGGGGAAATCGAACATTTTTCCGCAGAACTTCTTATCACACACTATTAGAAAGTACTTCTGGAGCTCTGCATGAATGTGTACACAACCGTATGCTCGGCGCCTTTTGATGCCTCGAAATGCACAGTAAAACACGCGATATCACAAATTGCGATTACTTACTATCGCCCTACATAGTGTGTTCAGTTTCGATCGCCCAACAGTAATATGGAGAGCGTGCCTCGCCTACACCCTGTAACTGTTCGTGATCGATTATGATCATACTTATCGAAATTTCTCTTATCCGTAGAACTTATAATGATCAGATTTTTCTAAGCTACAAAATTTTACTGTTTTAAAAAGTTCAGAAACATTTCCTCCTCAACTGTCTCCTCCGGAGGTAGCACCCCCAACATAGGTAGGAGGCTTACCCTGAGCCTTCCCCCTCTCTCCGAAATGAAGAGACGCGCGATGAGGGTGTCTGGTAAAGTCCCTACTAGAAGGCAACAAAGCGATCTCCTACTCCTAAGCGGAGTAATGCATATCAACAAGTTACTTTCACTATACAGAAAACTGTTTTATACTGTTGTTATACGAATTCGGGTACAAATGTACAGAAACCAATACGAAAAATTTTCACAGAACTCTCATGTCGCGTGACGCCTGTATTTTACCAAACCCGAATTTAACCAATACAAAACCGCGCGCCAATATAATCGATAAAAAGGGTAATGTTTAAACAAAATCGGAATTTATATTTTTGTCACGATTTTTTCCAAAATATTGCTAATGTTCATTTCTAACTCAAAAACACAATCCTGGAAGAAATACTTGCATATGATTCGTAGCTAAGTTGGGAATAAGTTAAGTATTCTGATCCGAAGGTCGCTGGTTCGATTCTATGTTATTCTTTCTCGTTAGGACTCTTGATGTTTCTTGCATATGCGGGAACTTGTCGTTTTTAAACTGTTTCTTCTGTATTTGCAAATGAGCGAACGATGTTTCCCCTGCGTAGTGGGCTTTTTCTTTGTTTTTTTACCTACGAACTAGCTCACAAGCTTAATTAGTTATCCCTGACTATGTGTTAAGTGGTCTTGTTAGAGACTGGTAGTGAGACTGAGATCTTTAGTTAGGAGTCCGCATACTGTATCATCTGAGATCAATCGCAAATGTCATTTTTATCTTCTTGAACGAGTCGCGTTTTTACAGTGTCAATTAATAACTTATTAATAATGCGCTATTAACAATACACGTTCACATTATCATAATACTGTCGCTACGACAGTAACGACAGTGTCGTAGAACGCGGGTAGGTCCCTCAGCGACCGTCGCTGGGACAATGCGCCTACTTCACAATGTGAAGTTCACATCACACAAATCTCTAGCGAAAATTATTGGAAGTAGACACGCGAATAATCTTGGGAATTGCTAGCGCGACGGACTTACCGGGCAGTTGCCAATTGCCAACTAGTAGATTATTGCTGTAATATAGGTCCAGGACTCCTGCAGCAGGAGTGGACTAGTATTTCATTATTCATTTACGTAGTTATCTAGTTTGAAACGATTCATTGCTTCGAGCTCCAAATCGGGCCTTGTATATAGTTATTCAAAATGGTACAAAAGCATCGAACACAGCTGATAAAAACGCTCTTAAAACGTTTTGAACCAGCGCCACCGGTTACTCAGAACCGAAGACTAACCAACGCGCTATTCCAACTCTTAAAACCAAACCAAAGTAATCCCCCAGCGGCTGGAAAGCCCAATTTAAGCTCTGAAATAATTAAGAGTATATTGCTTAGGTTCGAATCCTATACCGTTGCACTTACAAACACGAAACTTAACCACTGAACCATACACTCTACATAACAAAAAGTTTTTAAGTGTTCTCCATGGCTACCTGTTATTGCTTAAACGTTCCCCAAGCGATTGGGTAAAATAATGCTAATATATATAGTAATAGATTATAATGGCGCGCGGTTTTTAGTTGGTTAAAATCGGGTTTGGCTAAATTCGGGCAGAGCCCTCATATCGTCCCCATGTGATTATCGATTATAATGGCGAGCGCGAAATGAAAAGCGCATCGTCGAAGTTTGCTGACACTCTCAAGGTTGGTCCAGTTCGAGTATAATTAGACTCCGTGTATTCAACAGACCTTTGCTGAGCTTCAAGAGCGATACCAGAATTGAATTTAACGTGTCAATTTGGATTCTGGGAGCGGTCTTGAAACTCAGGAAAAGTGTAATGAGCACCCCAACTGCATTGGATATCGCATGAATCGTCTTAGTTCCCCTCCAGTTATGGTGATTCCTGTCTCTCAACACCAACGAGGGTTGCCCTCCATCAAATCGGTCGAGGATGATATCATACTCGACCGAAGCTTCTTCGATGAGCTCCTACTGCCTTCCACAGCGAAGACTGATTATGACATTTACTTGCTAGAGGCTCTGTGGCCGATTCTAGCTAGGGCGCTAGCAGCGCTTTCACTCGAGGTGGGTGCTTCAGCACCACACATGTCCACCTCTACTCTTCCCTTGGTGACGGTGCAGCTCTTGAAACGCTCCCACAGAGACATCATGATGATAATAATTTCTCA